TAGTCATCCATAAAGACTACTATAGTCACCCTTAAAGACTACTAGTCACCCATAAAGACTATTATAGTCACGTATATATACCGAGAGATACCGAAGAGCACCTATCAACCTATATACACTAAGAGATGAGAACCTATCAGCGTATATACACCGAGATACACATCGGTGTATATAACCTCTCTGCCAGATCTATATTAAATATACCTTAGCGGCGAATACCCAGTTTCGCTAACGACTGTAGAATACGACCCAACTTATCTTAACGACATCAAACTGCTTTGCAACTCCCATTAAGAAGCTCTAACTACCTTCAAAGTGGATTATAGCCCTTCCTGGAAATAATAGTCCATTGGTTGGGTGGCTAATGCCTACCTACTTGGACCTGCCTAGTATGGGCCAGTAGGCCTGCTGCAGTGTTCCTTCTTTTTTATGTTCTTATGCTCACACACACAGAGTGTACTCATCAGAGTATATACAAATTGTCTTACAATAAGTTTAACGTCCATCGAACTTACAAATAAATAGGTTAGGTAAGATAGGTTCCGTCCGGAAACAGGACAAGTGTTTCCTAACGCGGGTCTAAGTCATCTAATGACCCGCCACTGGAGCTGGTCTTGTCCTGGCCCGGGTCTTTTCCAGATGGTGACCCGGCGCTACTGGAGCTTTTGGCCTTCTGACCGAGGCCTTTCCCTGGCTTACGGTCCACCTCCTTTAAAAAATTAATACGTTATTAGTTTTAAAAGTTTATTAATCTTATATCCTTAAATTATTTACATAAATATGGTTATATTATTAATAGCTTCATATATATATATATATATATATTTATATATATATATATATATATATATATATATATATATATATATATATATATATATATATATATATATATATATATTATTATTTTATTATCACACTGGCCGATTCCCACCAAGGCAGGGTGGCCCGAAAAAGAAAAACTTTCACCATCATTCACTCCATCACTGTCTTGCCAGAAGGGTGCTTTACACTACAGTTTTTAAACTGCAACATTAACACCCCTCCTTCAGAGTGCAGGCACTGTACTTCCCATCTCCAGGACTCAAGTCCGGCCTGCCGGTTTCCCTGAACCCCTTCATAAATGTTACTTTGCTCACACTCCAACAGCACGTCAAGTATTAAAAACCATTTGTCTCCATTCACTCCTATCAAACACGCTCACGCATGCCTGCTGGAAGTCCAAGCCCCTCGCACACAAAACCTCCTTTACCCCCTCCCTCCAACCCTTCCTAGGCCGACCCCTACCCCGCCTTCCTTCCACTACAGACTGATACACTCTTGAAGTTATTCTGTTTCGCTCCATTCTCTCTACATGTCCGAACCACCTCAACAACCCTTCCTCAGCCCTCTGGACAACAGTTTTGGTAATCCCGCACCTCCTCCTAACTTCCAAACTACGAATTCTCTGCATTATATTCACACCACACATTGCCCTCAGACATGACATCTCCACTGCCTCCAGCCTTCTCCTCGCTGCAACATTCATCACCCATGCTTCACACCCATATAAGAGCGTTGGTAAAACTATACTCTCATACATTCCCCTCTTTGCCTCCAAGGACAAAGTTCTCTGTCTCCACAGACTCCTAAGTGCACCACTCACTCTTTTTCCCTCATCAATTCTATGATTCACCTCATCTTTCATAGACCCATCCGCTGACACGTCCACTCCCAAATATCTGAATACGTTCACCTCCTCCATACTCTCTCCCTCCAATCTGATATTCAATCTTTCATCACCTAATCTTTTTGTTATCCTCATAACCTTACTCTTTCCTGTATTCACCTTTAATTTTCTTCTTTTGCACACCCTACCAAATTCATCCACCAATCTCTGCAGCTTCTCTTCAGAATCTCCCAAGAGCACAGTGTCATCAGCAAAGAGCAGCTGTGACAACTCCCACTTTGTGTGTGATTCTTTATCTTTTAACTCCACGCCTCTTGCCAAGACCCTCGCATTTACTTCTCTTACAACCCCATCTATAAATATATTAAACAACCACGGTGACATCACACATCCTTGTCTAAGGCCTACTTTTACTGGGAAAAAATTTCCCTCTTTTCTACATACTCTAACTTGAGCCTCACTATCCTCGTAAAAACTCTTCACTGCTTTCAGTAACCTACCTCCTACACCATACACTTGCAACATCTGCCACATTGCCCCCCTATCCACCCTGTCATACGCCTTTTCCAAATCCATAAATGCCACAAAGACCTCTTTAGCCTTATCTAAATACTGTTCACTTATATGTTTCACTGTAAACACCTGGTCCACACACCCCCTACCTTTCCTAAAGCCTCCTTGTTCATCTGCTATCCTATTCTCCGTCTTACTCTTAATTCTTTCAATTATAACTCTACCATACACTTTACCAGGTACACTCAACAGACTTATCCCCCTATAATTTTTGCACTCTCTTTTATCCCCTTTGCCTTTATACAAAGGAACTATGCATGCTCTCTGCCAATCCCTAGGTACCTTACCCTCTTCCATACATTTATTAAATAATTGCACCAACCACTCCAAAACTATATCCCCACCTGCTTTTAACATTTCTATCTTTATCCCATCAATCCCGGCTGCCTTACCCCCTTTCATTTTACCTACTGCCTCACGAACTTCCCCCACACTCACAACTGGCTCTTCCTCACTCCTACAAGATGTTATTCCTCCTTGCCCTATACACGAAATCACAGCTTCCCTATCTTCATCAACATTTAACAATTCCTCAAAATATTCCCTCCATCTTCCCAATACCTCTAACTCTCCATTTAATAACTCTCCTCTCCTATTTTTAACTGACAAATCCATTTGTTCTCTAGGCTTCCTTAACTTGTTAATCTCACTCCAAAACTTTTTCTTATTTTCAACAAAATTTGTTGATAACAGCTCACCCACTCTCTCATTTGCTCTCTTTTTACATTGCTTCACCACTCTCTTAACCTCTCTCTTTTTCTCCATATACTCTTCCCTCCTTGCATCACTTCTACTTTGTAAAAACTTCTCATATGCTAACTTTTTCTCCCTTACTACTCTCTTTACATCATCATTCCACCAATCGCTCCTCTTCCCTCCCGCACCCACTTTCCTGTAACCACAAACTTCTGCTGAACACTCTAACACTACATTTTTAAACCTACCCCATTCCTCTTCGACCCCATTGCCTATGCTCTCATTAGCCCATCTATCCTCCAATAGCTGTTTATATCTTACCCTAACTGCCTCCTCTTTTAGTTTATAAACCTTCACCTCTCTCTTCCCTGATGCTTCTGTTCTCCTTGTATCCCATCTACCTTTTACTCTCAGTGTAGCTACAACTAGAAAGTGATCTGATATATCTGTGGCCCCTCTATAAACATGTACATCCTGAAGTCTACTCAACAGTCTTTTATCTACCAATACATAATCCAACAAACTACTGTCATTTCGCCCTACATCATATCGTGTATACTTATTTATCCTCTTTTTCTTAAAATATGTATTACCTATAACTAAACCCCTTTCTATACAAAGTTCAATCAAAGGGCTCCCATTATCATTTACACCTGGCACCCCAAACTTACCTACCACACCCTCTCTAAAAGTTTCTCCTACTTTAGCATTCAGGTCCCCTACCACAATTACTCTCTCACTTGGTTCAAAGGCTCCTATACATTCACTTAACATCTCCCAAAATCTCTCTCTCTCCTCTGCATTCCTCTCTTCTCCAGGTGCATACACGCTTATTATGACCCACTTCTCGCATCCAACCTTTACTTTAATCCACATAATTCTCGAATTTACACATTCATATTCTCTTTTCTCCTTCCATAACTGATCATTTAACATTACTGCTACCCCTTCCTTTGCTCTAACTCTCTCAGATACTCCAGATTTAATCCCATTTATTTCCCCCCACTGAAACTCTCCTACCCCCTTCAGCTTTGTTTCGCTTAGAGCCAGGACATCCAACTTCTTTTCATTCATAACATCAGCAATCATCTGTTTCTTGTCATCCGCACTACATCCACGAATAGGCAGAACTTGCGATCTTGGCTTAAATAGCAACATTCATCTTGCCATATAGGACAAGCGAAAATTTGTGTGTGCAATAATTTCGCAAAAATCATTCTGAACCTAACGAAAAAAATATATTTCACTGTGTTTGTTTAGTATTAAATTATTGTAAACTAATCTAAAATATACTTAGTTGGGTTAGGCTAAAATAAATTGTTCTTGTTATAATAAGGTTAGGTAAGTTTTCTAAGTTCCTTTTGGTGCAAAATTATAAATTTTTACATCAACATTAATGAAAAAAATATATCTTTAAACGTATAAGAGAAAATTTTAGAAAGGACTTAATTTTAAGTGAGTTCTTGCTAATTGACCAGTTTTACATATTCGGCACGACATATATATATATATATATATATATATATATCTATTATATAATATATATATATATTATATATATATAATTATATATATATATATATATATATGCAATAAGATCACAGAAAAACAGGTGATTTCAGAGTATGCAAAACAACCACTATGAAAGAATAGAGAAGTTCCAAGCGCTTTCGTGACAAGTCACATTATCAAGGAACAATTGTTCCTTGATAATGTGAGTAGTCACGAAAGCGCTTGGAACTTTTCTATTCTTTCATAGTGGTTGTTTTGCATACTCTGAAATCACCTGTTTACTGTGATCTTATTGCATATATATATATATATATATATATATATATATATAAATATATATATATATATATATAATATATATATAAAAAACACCCTCACAATCCCAGTCTACCAATTACCCTCACTAACGACCCTAAACTACCCAATAACCCCCACTAGCCACCAGTAATGACCCTAAAATACCCAACAGCCGTCACTGACGATCCCCAGACTGCCCTTACAATCCCCAAACCAAAAACCCTCACTAACGATCCCCTTAACTACCTTCCAGATGGGTTATTCCACTCGCTGGAGATACTGGACACATCCGGCTCACATTGCTTTCCAGCTATGAGGGAACTCTCCATCAGGTCTGGACGAGCCTTCGTAATAGTATTTGCTGTGAACAGTGAACAGAGCTTTTATGAAGCTCAGGCCCTCTGGACCCTGATTACGGAGGTCAAAGGTGAGACCTACAGTAAATGGCCAAGGGGAGATCTAAATGGTCATGGGGAGACCTAAAAGGTCAGGGAGAGACCTTAAAATACATATATATTATATATATAAAATACATATTAATGGGTGAAATGGGTAACTATTATATTCTTAATAAAATTAATCACCCGCGGGGAGGGGTGTTATGACTCCAGGTGTTATAATGACACCGTTGGGGGTCATTATAACACCTGGGGAATGAGAGGTGATCAAATCTGATCCAAGGAAAGGAATGGCAGCTCCAGTTCCTTAGATCAAGAGCCCTCCTTCGGCATCACGGCCCCTGCGATAATTTGCGGGAGTAAAATATGTATTTTATTCTGATATTCCAGTATGCATTTTCTCAGTTATTTCGCTAACACTTACACACTCGGTCTCACACTTGCACTCATACTCGCACTCTCACTCATTCTCACATACAAGCTCTCATCCACCTTCCTTCAGATCTAGACAACGTACCCACAGTGCTGGTGGGCAACAAGATTGACCTCTCAGCAGAGCGAGAGGTCAGCTGGGAGGAGGCCAACGCCTACGCCACAGAGGTCATGCCCAACGCCGCCTACGTTGAAACCTCAGCCAAATATAACCTCAACGTCACCCTCGTCTTCAAGGAACTACTTGTACTCACCTTCGGCATCAGCAAGGAGGAGGTCAGTTTGAAATTAAAGATTTTTTTTCGGTCTTGTAAAAGCGATATTGAATATTGGATAAGCAGTGTGTTGCTGGGTTATTAAATTTACTGCATCGATCACGTTCCTCTTAACATCGTATTATATTTTTAGATAATAATAGTAATGATAATGATTATGAAATAAAATAGCAATACCTGAAAAGTTTACATGGAGAGGATTTCGGGGGTCAACGCCCCCGCGGCCCGGTCTGTGACCAGGCTTCATTATTATTGTGGAATATTAAAATTACCTGGATGAACCTCATAAGGTACATACCAGTAATTGGTAACAAAGATAATTATTCCTTATCAAATGTTATAGAGACATGTAGGAATTTTTAAACATTCTAGGTCGCCAGAAAATGTCTCCCCTCGAATACCTACCACTCAGATCGACACCATGCCTAACCCTTCTAGGGTAGGGTAGGTGCCTGAGTCCGAGCCTTTAGCTCATAAGACTGTCATTCCCATTAGCCCCCTTGGGGCGGGGATGGCAGACCAGAGAGGCCTAGCTTGTGGCTAGGCCTGGGGACAGTTGGTCCCAAAGATGAGGAGGCACTTGCCTCCTCCCATGGGAGACTTGGGTCTCAGACACTCCCTAAAGAGGGAGCCAAGGCCGGGCCACCACTTGGAAAAGGCCCGGGCCGGGAGAATACCGGCTAATCTTTAACTAACTAACTAACTAACCTACCACTCATACTTCCACAAGTCACTCTGGACCTATATTAATTCCAAATGAAATAAACATCACTAGTAAGTCTGGTAAAACTATTAATATAAATTATATAGACTGTATGTTAAATACATATACACATTCATATATCAGAAGGGGACTTTATATTAATAACACTCACCAATTTGTCTGGAGATAACTTGGTGTGTCATCCACAACTCCCTGCCTAAAATATGAAGAAACTATTGGCCAGAATTTCAATATATAAAGACATTACTTATCTGTGGGGATGGTGTAATTCTTATCCCTTTTCCCATCTAATTTCGAAGTCCTGCTCAGTCGTTGGTTTCTCATATTCTGTAGGACTGTAACTCCGACAATTTCTGCTCCTATTTGAAAGGTTTCAACCATATATAACCTCCAGAGCTACGAGATATTCTTCCCGTTTCACTGACCCTCGTCTGTCCCAGTTCAAAACATGGCGTCTCTTCCCAAGTGACGCTTAACCATGTTGCTGGTTCCTTTTTTATTTACCAAATTCATTTTTATTAAGTACAATGTATTTCACTAATTTACATACAAAAATACACTATATTTTCGAGAAAATATACAATATTTTCCATTATTATTATTATTATTATTATTATTATTATTATTATTATTATTATTTTATTATTATTATTATTATTATTATTATTATTATTATTAGTAGTAGTAGTAGTAGTAGTAGTAGTAGCAGTAGTAGTAGTAGTAGTGGTAGTAGTAGTAGTAGTAGTAGTAGTAGTAGTAGTAGTAGTAGTAGTAGTATAGAGAAGAAACAGAAAATAGGAAGGAAAAAATAAGAACAGAACAAGAAGAGGAAGAAGTAAACCTCAAGATAAAATCAGCAATAAACTTCTGCAATAAATACTGAAGCCTGGTAACTCCTCTCCAATCCTCTTTGGGTCGCTCTTAAACACATTTCCCAGGGATTCCACTCACCCGCAGAGTTTCATACTCAAACTGCTTGTGTTACTTATACTTATATTGACTTATTTATACTTGTATTCTATATATTGATTTATTTGATAATTTCATCTATACTTTGGATAACTTTGGTAACGGGGGGGGGGGATGGGGGGCACGACACAACCACGACGTACAAAATACTCCTGACTAATAGACATTTCGAATAGCGAGGCTCAGGCGCCAGTGGCTTCATATGGAAGTTAAAATAAATGAAACAAGGATATTAGGAAATATTTATTTAGTGTATAATTATAGTCTTCGGATGAGAGGCTTAGGATTTATTTGGGTATAAAGACAGCATGTTGATGCTAGCCTACGCTAAGCCTAGTGAGGAAGTGGGATGGGAGATGCCTTGCTGGTAGGGCAAGATTAGCCATACCATGGGCGGGGTTAGAACCCGCGATCAGAGTCATAAAACCCACAGTCTCCAACTCTCACCCACCTTACCTGGAGGTTATTCCGGGGATCAACGCCCCCGCGGCCCGGTCCATGACCAGGCCTCCCGATGCATCAGGGCCTGATCAACTAGGCTGTTACTGCTGGCCGCACGCAGTCCGACGTACGAGCCACAGCCCGGCTGATCCGGCACTAACTTTAGGTATCTGTCCAGCTCTCTCTTGAAGACAGCCAGGGGTTTATTGACAATTCCCCTAATGCTTGATGGGAGGCTGTTGAACAGTCTTGGGCCCCGGACACTTATGGTGTTTTCCCTTAGTGTACCAATGGCGCCCCTACCTTTAATTGGGGGCATTTTGCATCGCCTGCCCAGTCTTTTACTTTCGTAGGGAGTGATTTCTGTGTGCAGATTTCGGACCATTCTTTCCAGGATTTTCCATGTGTAGATTATAATATATCTCTCCCTCCTGCGTTCCAACGAGTACAAGTCAAGTGCTTCCAAGCGTTCCCAGTAGTTAAGGTGCTTGACAGAACTTATACGTGCAGTAAAGGATCTCTGTACACTCTCTAGATCTGCGATTTCACCTGCTTTGAATGGAGATGTTAATGTACAGCAGTATTCCAGCCTAGAGAGAACAAGTGATTTGAAAAGGATCATCATTGGCTTGGCATCTCTCGTTTTGAAAGTTCTCATTATCCATCCTATCATTTTCTTTGCACGTGCGATCGTGGCACTGTTGTGATCCTTGAAAGTGAGATCCTCAGACATTACTACTCCCAGGTCCCTTATATTATTTTTCCGCTCTATTCTATGGCCAGAGTCTGTAGTATACTCTGTTCTAGTGGTCACAGTGGTGGCCTATGCTACCTTCCTATGGTGCATAAATATACCAAGTTGCATGAATTTTATTGTGGCTAGCTGGCCCAGTGGCTAACGCGTCGGTCTGGAGTTGTATGACTCTCTGATCGCGGGTTCTAACCCCGCCGTGGTATGGTTTGTTTGCAATCGTGTCATTACGATTTCGTGAATCAGGGAAAGATAATATTTCGTTCGGATTTTTAACCCCAGAGGGTTAGCCACCCAGGATAACCCAAGAAAATCAGTGCGTACCTGTATATTAGTCGATCTACACCAGTCGACTAATATACAGGTACCTGTTTGCCTGCTAGGTGAACGGGACAACAGGTGTAAGGAAATACGCCCAATATTTTCACCCTTCCCGGGGATCGAACCACGGATACTCAGTATATGAAGGGAGAGCGTAGCTTACCAGGCTACGGGCCACGGCCACCCTACTGTCTACCAAGATAGAGCGACACAGTCTCTTGGAACCAACTCTAGATTTGAATAAGTATATTTAGGTAACGCTTGGAAGCACTTGACTTGTACTCGTTGGAACGCAGGAGGGAGAGATATATCATAATCTACACTTGGAAAATCTTGAAAGGAATGGTCCCAAATCTGCACACAGAAATCACTCCCTACGAAAGTAAAAGACTGGGCAGGCGATGCAAAATGCCGCCAATAAAAAGTAGGGGCGCCATTGGTACACTAAGAGAAAACACCATAAGTGTCCGGGGCCCAAAACTGTTCAACAGCCTCCCATCAAGCATCAGGGGAATTGCCAATAAGCCCCTGGCTGCCTTCAAGAGAGAGCTGGACAGATACCTAAAGTCAGTGCCGGATCAGCCGGGCTGTGGCTCATACGTCGGACTGCGTGCGGCCAGCAGTAACAGCCTGGTTGATCAGGCCCTGATCCATCGGGAGGCCTGGTCATGGACCGGGCCGCGGGGGCGTTGATCCCCGGAATAACCTCCAGGTAACCTCCAGGTATATGCACACGTAAATACAATTATATATCTAATTATCATAGTAACACAGAAAGTTGCCCAGGACAACCCGAAAAAGACGGCAGCACCAGCTTTAGGCGGCCTGGGATGAAATACAAGACCCGGCATGACGCTCATCAGGGTAATAAACCCGTGGAATGAGCTGCAGGAAACAGTAGCGGAGGCAAACATGCTGACTAATTACTTAGTTTAATGGCAGGGAAGCGCTAAACCCGTAGGGTTATACAGCGCAAGTGGGAGAGGGGGAAATGGAAGGTATTCAGGCTCAATTCAGGGAACTGGAGCACAGATCCAATTCCCTAGATCAAGAGCCTCCCACCAGCATCAAGGAACCTCCCTTGAGGGGAGACTAATTAAAAACTAAGAATGGTAGGTTCCATAAAACCCTACCATACTTAGGGGTCAAGAGTAGAGTCATGACCCCCATTACCCTACACATTGAATTGTTTTAAGGAGTTACTTGGGTATTTTAACTTTTAAGATTTAAATAAGATATTACAAAGACGCAAATGGAAATAAATATGGTGCTATGTATGATAATTTATGTAACTGTATGATCTCGCCTAATTATGGTTGCAGGGGTCGATTCATAGCTCCAGGCCCTTCTGTACCTGAATAAACTTACGAACACACACACAAAAAGGTGAAAGCACAAGGGCTGACTACCACAGTTGTCAGACAGACATTAGCCCCTTCATATCGGCAGTGTACAGAAAACTAGTTGGTTAATAAGGGTTAAAATCTACTGACTACACGAGGGTCATTAAGGCTGTATGCAAGTTCTTATAATAATAATAATAATAATAATAATAATAATAATATATCTTTATTTCTATAAGTACATGTACAAAGTATACAGACCATAGCTGACATCAATGACATACTACTATATAGAAAGCCACTTGTTATGCAAAACGTTTCGCTCAAATTAGGTTAGTTTTGTCCCAGGATGCGACCCACACCAGTCGACTAACACCCAGGTACCCATTTTACTGATGGGGAACATAGACAGCCGGTGTAAGGAAATACGCCCAATGTTTCTACCCTCGCCGTGAATCGAACCCGGACTGTGGCCGTGTGAAGCGAGAGCTTCGCCACCAGTCAAGACAACTTTTAATCCCTAACATATAAGGTCAACTTTCAGCATATATAAATTGATAGCAGTACTTCTTTCTTAGTGTGTAGAGCCTATGCAGTTGGAAGGCATAAAAAAAAAATACTTTCAGGGACGTAAATAATCTTTCAAAGACTATACACAGTGTTTGTCAAGTCAAATGTCGAGTTCCCAGTACCAGTTTACAGCCCACACCTAATCAAACGCACTAATGTTCGAAACAGTCTCAAAGTTCGTAGCCAGACAAGGGTATGTAATGTTTAGAAAGGCTAAACGATATGAACTTAACGTATTTCAACGAAGCATCAGCAAGGATATAACCACAACATACAAAATACTCAGAATCACTGGCGATATGGCTGATGTGAGACTGACATGAGAGGTCATGAAGAATGGATTTATGCTAACAATCTAATTTCACAATGACTATAGGAAAGATTTCTTCATTTCAAGGGTAGTTAAAGAGAGAAATGAGCGGGATGAGAAGTAGAAGCCATCTTCAAGAAGTATGTGAAAGGCCAAAGAGATAAAGAATCCTAAAATAGCCGGTCGATTGCTTCTTAAAAAGCAGGGCCAGGAGC